CTCTCTCTCTCTCTCTCTCTCTCTCTCTCTCTCTCTCTCACTCTCTCTCGCTCTCACTCTGTATGGATTCGGGAAATGATTTAAAGAATATAAAAAAAGGACAAAGACGCCGACTGTGATGGTTAGGTAGGTGAGTTATTGCTCCGGCGGACATTCAAGCTACGCAGCGTTGAACTGGGTTAGTACTTGGATGGGTGACCGCTTAGGATCACCTCGCTCGCACAAAAATTGGGGCGGTAGGTACGGTGTAGCGGCCTAGTGTCTTCATCTAGTCAATGTGACAGATGGATATATTAGGGCACTGCACAATCGGCCGGCTGTGCGACTGGGGTTTTACATGGTTTCCCGTGCAGTGCTAGCTCGAATGGGGCACAGCGAAGAGTAAGACGGCCATGATACCGCAGATAACAATGAGAGGAAAAGAAAGGAGGGGTGGCAGGCTACAGGAGGGGTTTCAAATCGAGAATTACTTAGGGATGTTCGATATTGAAAAAAGTATCGATATCGCATATCGATAAAAATCGTCGCGAACAAAATCGATATACCGATATATCGAGCTCAAAAATATCGATATAAATCGATATTTAAAAATCGTTCATAAAAAAAAATAATCCAAAAAAGGAAAAATTCTTCAATTTCACCGATAATACGTCGTAATAAGGGTTATACTTCTAAAATTTTATAAATTAGAGTGGAGGAGGATGAATAAATATTGAGGGAATAGTTCAAAGTCAAGAAATTTCTCTGTCATCTCTGATCTCATCACTAATCTCCACGGTTTTATTGGTGATTCTCACGGATATCGACATTACAAAAATACTCATTATGTTTTTGGCATGTGCAAAAATACTCATTATGTTTTTGGCATGTGCAATCTCAGGAAAACTTCCTATCAATATCCTAATAATTCTGTTATAAGTGGTAACATTGCCTTATTAAATAAAGAACATGTCAGTCGTAAACACACTAGATATATTCAACCCATACGGATAAACATGCGAAATCATATCGCATTGATCTGAAATAAACAAAATTATCAACCGATAAAACTTTTAGATTATTTTATAGTATCATTCTCGATAGTCATCTATTTAGCTTCTTATAACGAACGTCTTATTGAACACTCAGTTCTGGATGAATCTTTCACATTGAACCAGTTTGAACCGTTCCATGGTTTGCTCTCAAAGCAAACTTTTGATCAAATAAAGCATACAATCCTAAAACAAATCAACTCATAAATTCTTGTTATCACCTCATAGACTTTCTCTCTCGACATGGTTCTTCAAGCTCAGCTATCAGTCTCGACAATGACTTACCACTAGATTTTATGTTTAGTATCACTTTTTATGACGAGAAACACGATAACAGATATGTCCTTAACTTAGATGCCAGTCTGGAAATCCTAGTGATTTCATAAATAATGATCTCCAAATGTGCTCAGCCGTCAGGCGACTACGATCCTCAGTCAGCCGGGCAGCTGCCGAAAATAAACGTTCACAAGGAACTGAACTCCCCAGCACACAACAGTATTTCAAAGCAATTTTAGCCAGTGCTGGCGTGTTTTCTTTCTGTGCCAGCCAAAACTTGATGATATCAGTTCCAGGTGGCTTGTGAGGGTTGCTGGTGTATTGTTTGAGATTGATATCAAGGGTTCCAAGTCCTGGAGTTTCTGCTGCTAATTTCTGGTGTTGACTGATACGCTGATTGTGGTGCTTCCACAGAGCATCTCCCTGGGGAAAATCTTCTTGAGGATTTTTGGCCTTCTTCACTTGTGGATTGGGATGCTCCGAGTCTTTGATGAAGACATTGACGAGATTCAATACTTCGGCGTCATATAGATTGCTGGGGAAATATTTACGTTTGAAGCGAGGATCGAGCAAGCCAGCTACACCGATCAGTGATTGATACTTCTTCGTCTCGTAAACTTTGAGCCTTTGCTGGATACCAGCCTCAAGAGCGTCTTTAACAATTCTTCCTATATCGCAAACTGGTTTCAAGGCTGCAACTTCAGCGCGGAACCATGCAATTAATGGGAGCAGTTGACTTCCAGTAACATACCGCTCGCCACTGATACTTTTAGTCACGTCTTTGGCTGGCTTGAAAAGATCCATGATTTCTTTTAGTAATCTGAGTTCTGCGGAAGATAGCATCGGTGGAGCGCCCTCCAAACTCAGGAGTGAGCAAGTTACAGCATTCATAAGCACGAGGAAACGTTCAATCATTTCAAAAGTGGAATTCCATCGAGTGGGGCAGTCTTGTTTGTAAGCAGCAATAGACGACTGGCGAAAGTATGTCACAATCCGCTTGACCTTCGCAATCAAATCTTTCCCAGCTGGTATATCATGTATGATTGATTGCATTATAAGCTTCACCGTATGTGGGAAACAGATCAGGTGTTTCTTCTCACTGAATGTGTCGATCGCAGCTTTGACCATATTCTACCCACCATCTGTCACGATAAGAATGATCTTTTCTTTGGGAATATCCCACTTCTGCAGAGTTTCCTCAAATATGAGGGCTATGTTCATTGCTGTATGACGATTAGTCACTTCTGCAGTGGCCAAGATAAGCGAAGAAAGATGATACTGATCGAGGTAGTGAGCAGTTACACCAAGAAAGCATCGATTCGTTTGTACGTCGGTCTATAAATCCGAAGTCAATGTGAAATGCTCGACTCTTGATAATTTTTCCTTCATCAAAGCAAAAAGTACCTCGTATTTGCTATCAACTAATCCAGTGAATTTTTTCCGTTTAGGAACCTCATAATGAGGTATTGCCACAATAGCAAAATATTGAAAACCTTCTTTCTCAGTCATATTGAAGCAACCCTCGTCTTTCACAGCCATATACAGGGTGTTTCAGAAGTACATGTACATCTGAACACTCTAGGATCAGGGGGTGATTCTGAGCAGAAAAGTCCTCTTGCACTTTTTGATCGGACTCACCCCTAAGAAGTTATTGGCAGTTAAGGGTGGGCCAATGGGGAGTGATTTTTAAGCGGGCGCACATCCATGTGATATGCAGCATATGTGT